GAGGTGAATTACCGCGATGTTAATGCGATCTGTTAACACTGATTTCTACAAAAAAAAACGGTGATTTTTTCTCTAAAAGCTGTTGATTTGCAATTTTCGAAAGGTAAACTAAGGGTAGAGGAAGTATTTATACCTTTCACGGTCACCAACAAGTTGTGTCATAGAATAGTTCGCTCGTTCACACCCCATTCTCAATGGACACGATTTTTTGGAAAAGTAAAACGATGTTCAATGACCAGGTTTCACGATCACATTTTGGCGTTTCTAAAACTACTACTCAAAAGAAATATGGATTACTTTAGTATTGCTACATCGGGGTTCATCCTGGGTAAATAACAGAATAGAAAAGGTGCGAACCATGTTCCGTGCATTCGCCCGCCATACACTCTGAAGTTAATGTGAGTTTTCTCGTAAAAGCAGGAACCAAACTACCGTACCAATGCAATGAAATGAAATACACTTTTTACAAGCATATTTTAATAAATGTCGTCTACGCCAGGTAAAACACTCTAGGCCTATACTTGGGGATGCCCTCAACTCGTTAAATGTCTAAAAACAGAGGGGTGGGCTTATACTCGGGGAGGGTTATGCTCGGAAAGTACGATAGAAGTAAAAGTACAATTTAAAACAAAATGGCTGCCAATCGGCCATTTTGTTTGAATTTTTGTTAAAATTACCCTTTTTATTTCTGAGAAACTGTTCAATTTTGATATTATTATTTCACTAGCATATCACCTGATTCAGTTGACATTTGACATAACTACTATACTATTATTATTAATTTGTGTTATTTTGTGTGACTTTGTAGACTTGATGGCCATTTTGTCAAAAATCACAGTAAGTAAATGTGTCTAGAATCATTCCTCATAAGACAAGGCAACACAATCATGATCATACTGGGTTACAGGTGCATGTCATGTATTTTTAACATTAGAACTAAAACAATCAACGATCATTTGTTCATGCTTTCTATCTGTGTGATTATAAACACATTTTGTCAGTCCATGTAATGATGCATGGAGTCAATTGTTAGACATTTACATAAGACATACTGAACACAAAAACTGGTAAAAACAATACAAGGACTGTGCATTAACAATGCTTGTGTTCTACCCATTTGTCAGATACACTTTAATACATTTTGAATTATGTAGCAGATGCTCTTCAGTTATTTTGAGATTTTCACACACAAAAAATGTTTATCGTGTCATTAACTGTCATTTCACTGATCCTGATTGAATTCAAAATCACCAACTGGTGGCCATGTTGATGTTATTTCATGTGTCTTTATAGCAATGATTTGTTGTGCTCAGTGAGTCTAATTTAATTCATATATTTCAATTCTGATTTTTGCATTTTTATAAATTATTATGGCAACAATTTTTTTGATTATAGAACATTATATATACTTATCTAGGTTGACCTTATATATATCAGAGTACACTACATGTTTTAATAGTTCATTAAAAAGTTCATGTACCTTAGAAATAAACAGTTTTATGACATTTATTGAAGAAACTGCTGATGGTGATACTGTAACTGTAAAATGCTTCTGCATATACATGTAGTATGTCAGTGCTTCTCTGATTATGACATCATTTGGTGTCACAGTGAGAGTTATAAAGCAGATTGGACTATTGTTGACCCCCTAACTTGTTTATTATTAATCATGTTTCCCAGCATGCATTTAATCTAAGCCAACTATAAATAGCCCAGTGTATGGATATACAGGTGTTTTTACACTGATGTAAACTGTGGAAAGACAATATTATAAAATTGCAAGTGGTAATCAAGTACAAGTCTGTTTTTCTGTAATACTCTACTCCTGCCAAGACAATAAGGTAAAGAATATTGGACTATTCCATTTTAGTAGAGGGGGGAAATACTGAACTAATTTTCTGTTATTCACAGGTTTCCAAAAAAATGAAAAACAAGTTTGTAGTTATACATTTTAAATCATGGTGGTCGTTTTGATCAATATTCAAATTTGACATACATGTAGCTTCCGCTATGTGTGGCATCAACCAACTATTTCTGTATTTGCGTTTGAACGGACATATGTTTGTTAATAAATATCTATTCTTGTCCCGTGATGCCCTAGTACATATATCAACTATGGCATATGTGTAGTCATTCTGAGCAAAACTGTTCTACATGTAACTAGCTCATTTTGACTTTACGAATATGGCTTTGGAAGTGACGTCTCTGACGGCTGCAGCTGTTATTGGGGTCCTCCATATTCGTAAAAAACAGAAGGAGGAGAACATTCGGGTAAATACAATTGTATTTAAACTTTTGGGTTATTTTAACTAAATGTTTTCACAATGTCCGCATACAAATAATTATTCTTCACACTAACACGTTTTTTTCTCATTTATATTTGCTATCTGCATATACTTTCAACAGGAGATGTGTTAACAAATCTTGAAACCTCAAAAATATGATTTTAAAATTAATTATTCAGTTTATATTCATTTGTTTTCATTGGAAAAGTTTTGATGAACTTGCGCTTAGTGCGAGTACTGTCAACTGTCAGTACAATCAACTGGGTCCCATACCTTGGTAGCTGTGGAACCAATCAACGCATAGCACCTATACCTTTAACTTTGTGCCATTGTTACACATATATCCTATACCTTTCACCTAATTGTCTCACAATCAACACTCCGGTGTGAATCACCCAATCAGCTGCCATTTATATATTTTGTTAAATAACAATCACAACGTAGAGTAATAGGGGAGGGTGTTGATTAAGTGCCATAATGCAGGAAATCTCTGTCTTGAATTCTTGTCAATGTGATATGAGATGGGGGTGAGTACAGTGAAATGTTGCTATTATAATAATGCTGTTTTATTTTAAGATCTGATGAGATGCAGTATGCCATACTGTCAAATAGATATGGTCTATTGTGCTGGTATGTAACATATAGTCTAAACACTAATGGCAGCTCTTAATGTCAATATGTTATTTGTTGATATTGGTGAAGCATTTTTTTCCAAAATACAAATAATAATATTTATAACTGTTATTAATAATTATATAAAAAAAAGTTTAAGAATAAATATTTTAGTGAAAAGTTCATATTTCAAATTGTGCAAACATTTTAATAATTATAAGTTGCATTTAAGTATGAACATTATCATTTTGAAAGTTTATGATGTACATGTATACTTATTTATTTATTTTTATAATATTATTATAAATATATGGTTTGATATATTAACACATCAGTTTTGAGCTTCTGTAAGATGTGACAATAATAATATTTTTCTTAATTCCATTAATATATAATACAAAATATTTACCGATCTCTGGGCTTTAATTCCAGTTATTGCTATGTTTGTTCATTATGTATATTCTGTCCTAAAATATACAGTAAGAACTGTCTTAATTGAACTATGTGTGAACATGATACAAATGTCTAACCAACATGTATGTAGACCCATTGCTCTAGTCTCATCAGTGTCACTTA